TCATTTCATGTTGATATCTTCAATTCTCTAATTTTGGTGAATATTTTTGTCATTTTTGGTAAAAACTGATATTTTCGACTTCTTGTTAAAAACCGCAAGTGCAAATGCTTTGATATTACATATATAGGTACTACATGTGGACCTCTCTCAGATTTGTTCATTTTGTAATGATATCTTTAATTCTCTAATTTTGGTGAATATTTTTGTCATTTTTTGGTGAAAAGTGATATTTTCGACTTCTTGTTAAAAACCGCAAGTCCAATTGCTTTGGTACTACATATATAGGTACTACATGTGGACCTCTCTCAGATTTGTTTATTTCGTGATGATATCTTCAATTCTCTAATTTTGGTGAATATTTTTGTAATTTTTGGTAAAAAGTGATATTTTCGACTTCTTGTTAAAAACTGTAAGTCCGATTGCTTTGATACTATTCATATTGTTCATTTTCTAATGATGTCTTCAGTTCTTTAATTGAAATGTGCATTGCTAACAGCGGAGCTATCTCAGCCGATAGGCTGCTTGTTTGACTTCTTCTTGAAAACTACAAGCCTGAATGCTTTGATACTTGGTGTGTATGTACCTGGGGTAGACCTCTCTTAAATTTGTTCATTTCATGATGATATCTTCAATTCTCTAATTTTGGTGAATATTTTTGTCATTTTTGGTAAAAAGTGACATTTCGACTTCTTGTTAAAAACCGCAAGTCCAATTGCTTTGATATTACATATATAGGTACTACATGTGGACCTTTCTCAGATTGTTCATTTTGTAATGTAATCCTCAATTCTCTAATTTTGGTGAATATTATTGTCATTTTTGGTAAATAGTGATATTTTTGACTTCTTGTTAAAAACCGCAAGTCCAATTGCTTTGATATTACATATATAGGTACTACATGTGGATCTCTCTCAGATTTGTTCATTTTGTAATGATATCTTTAGTTCTCTAATTTTAATGAATATTTTTGTCATTTTTGGTAAAAAGTGATATTTTCAACTTCTTGTTAAAAACCGCAAGTCCAATTGCTTTGATATTACATATATAGATGCTACATGTGGACCTTTCTGAGATTTGTTCATTTCGTGATGATATCCTCAATTCCCTAATTTTGGTGAATGTTTTTGTAATTTTTGGTAAAAAGTGGTATTTTTGATTTCTTGTTAAAAACCGCAAGTCCAATTGCTTTGATATTACATATATAGATACTACATGTGGACCTCTCTCAGATTTGTTCATTTCATCGTGATATCTTAAATTTCTTAATTTTGGTGAATATTTTTGTCATTTTTGATAAAAAGTGATATTTTTGACTTCTTGTTAAAAACCGTAAGTCCGATTGCTTTGATATTACATATATAAGTACTACATGTGGACCTCTCTAAGATTTGTTCATTTTGTGATGATATCTTCAATTATCTAATTTTGATGAAGATTTATGTCATTTTTGGTAAAAAGTGATATTTTTGAGTTATTGTTGAAAACAGCAAGTCCAATTGCTATACATACTTATACATATTGATCATTTTCTAATGATATCTTCAGTTCTTTAATTGAAATGTGCCTTGCTAACAGCGGAGCTATCTCAGCTGAGAGGCTGCTTGTTTTTTAAATGCCTTACACTGATTAAAATCGTATTTGACTTTGATTCAGTGAATTTTGTTTGTATTTAATAAGACAAACATAAGTATATAGTGTATGCTAAACATTATTTATTGCAGCAGTATCATTACGTAACATGTTTTCATTTTCTGTGTCTGTTTTAATTCAATCTAGGCAGCAGAAGCTGTCAGTAACTGTGGTTTAACACAGCATACATGCATAACATTCACTGCTACATATCAGAAAAATACAGAAGGAGAAATTAATGGTCATGTGACAATAGTAAGTAAACTGATATGATAGATAATATAATATATTGTTTTGAAGCTCACTGGGTGAGTGTGTTGTGGTACCCTTAGCTGAGTCTTGATTTTCTTCTTGTAACTGACTGGCCACTTTGAATTGGTTTTATTATGGTTATATATTATATTTGACTGTTTGTAGCTGATATTTTCAAATAATTTTTTTCTCAGAAGGAGCAATCAGAGCCGGTGACATGGTTAAGTGTTTACAGACAATCTCTGACTTTAATGGCGTCTATGCTGGCTACTTTGAAACATTCATTTCTGACCGATGCACTCAATTTTTTTGGTGTTCATCAGGATCGTATCACACAAGTGAGTTGCTAAAACAGTTCAAGGTTATAATATTTTATTTGAGGGAGGATAACGTGAAGCTTATACTGTAAAATCTGTATTAAAAGCTGCGGCTTCTATTAAAATAGTACAATGCAACAGAAGGGATGCAGCTTCTATTAGAGCATCTACACATATGCGACCTGGTGAATTTTTGGGTCTCGATTGTTCAAAAAGAATGGGTGCGGCTTCTATTGGGGATGCGGCTTCTAATACAGATTTTACGGTATATACAATTATATTATAGCATTATCAATACCAGTGGATATTATGACGTCATTGCAGCAGATTATTTGCGAGGAGAAACTATTTAAAAAGAAGAGAAATTGTTAGATAACAAATATTTGATGCTAAAATTGGCATAAAATAAAATGGTCCATTGCCATTAACAGTAAATTTCAATATTGAAATCAGACAATTTTGTGAGGGCATCACATCGTTGTCTGCTGTGTACGGTAAAGCGCACTTGCTGGAAGCGTTCATTTAGTATGCATTCTATAAATTCTATGACTGATGTCACTGTCCTGGTGGTCGCCCTATCGTGTCGAAAAAGTGAAGTTAACCTAGAAATTAACCATCTTTCTTGGATGTCTAACACCTATAAGCTTTCCAGCCATTTTCGTTCGCTCGCTACGCCTGTAAGTTTTGTTTGGCTTAAAAATATTAGTCAAATCACTGGCTTCCTATAGAATTTGAAAATAACTATTACACAGATAGGACAGTTGCAAATAATATTTACCTTGATGGTTTGAAAATACTCTGAAGATGGAGTAACGTTACAATTACGTACATGTACCCCAGGTATGCACCCCTACGCACAGTCAATCCAGCAGATGATCTAACGTTGTGTAGTGCAAGGCTACGACAGACACGCAGATCACTGTGTGCCATTCACTCGGGCGATCACTACAATGCTAGTCCACATCACACATCAGTCACTCGTCCACTCGCAATGTAAGTGATTTAAATACAATATTTTTTGATGGATTAAAACTAGTTTCTTTCTTAGTTTGCCATATGAGATTGTGGAAATTTAGGTTCACGGGCAGCGACTGTGAAACTGTTGCGTTCACTGTAGAATTTTTTCCAAATTTTCTACTTTTTATTTACAGCGCTACAAAATAACAACCCGACAACCCATGAGCTTTCGCCCATTACGGGTTGGCGGGTCATTCATCATTGTTTAAATATACAACATTTCCCAGGGACTTGTCCAAGCACATGTGTGTCTGTATGTCCATCTATCTCACGTATATGGATTGATCTCATTCAAAAACGCTATGCATATAGAACACATACATTTGGTTTTTGCA